GTTACTTGTCAGGTGAGGCCAAGAGAAATGAAACATGGAGAGGAAACCAATAAAGGTTACTACATCTCTCCTTGCCATGTCCCTGCCATTGCCCTAGTTTAGACCTCAACAGTTCTTACTCAGATGTAACACACAGAAACCTTATTTTATTTAACCTGGCCTTTTATTTTGATTTTTTTTTCCTTTGACTCAAAATGGCCTCACTCATCACCTTGACTCACCCAGCTGTCTCCCTTGCTTAATCTTTAATCCCTCAGGACAATGAGGTTCTGGTCAACATCCAGTAGTCCTAAAAACAAGATCCTGGCTGGTCTGACTAGAGACAGAGTTTTCAGTCGAACTAAAGATAACATCTTGACCTCAGTCGTGTTTTAGCTTCATATCCAGGAATGCAGAATGATCACACCAAACAAATCCTTGAGAAATCAGAAAGACTCCATGGCTGACATCAGGACCAGATGCAATGATCAATTACCCCCTACCCTAGCACCAACCAATCAGTAGGGACCACAACCCTAACCTCTTTAGTCGCCATGATTAATGCTTCCCCCACCCCCAACTTTATAATCCATCTCCTAGAAGCCATTGGGAAAACCAGGTCTTTGAGCATTAGCTCACCTTTGACTCTGGGCATGGCGCCATCTCCTCAATTAATAAATCCTTACTTTTTACTTTTTTGGCTGCAAACTCCTGTTTGTGTCTTATTGGTTTTTGATACATGCAGATAAATGGACCCCTTCAGTCTGGTAACACAGAGAATTGCAAGATCAGTAAGAACTTTCTAACGGATGCTTGTTTAGTTTTGGCCCATTGGTCCCATTTCATTATCAGAATGACCTTTCTAGCATGTAGATCTGATCATGTCACTACCACATTCAACATTTTTTGATGTCTTGCCTTTATCTATAAGATAAACTCAACATGCCTTGCTTATTAAATTAAGCTGTTCAATATCTGGCCTTTGTCTGGTTATCTGTCTACCCTTAACCATCTTCACTGTCTTCTTTATACCTCAAGCTTTTGCAAAACTGCATTACTTGTAGTACTGTTTATATATAATGATTTCTCATACCTTGGCTCCCCAAGCCTACCTCATTCTTACCAATCCAGGAAATTTGAGTTCATCCTTTCATGGGTGAACTCAAATTTCTTCTATCTTCTTTGACTCCTTCTTCAGTCTTTTCAGGGTTCTTCTCCTTTGTGCCCTCTGCACTTTGTCAAACAGTAGAGCTCTCTTTTCTGACAGACCAGGATAGTGGTTGGTGGATTAATTGAAAAACCAATTAAATTTGGCATCATAACAATAATGATACATACTTTAAACATTATTTTTTAAACATCACTTAAAAACTTGTTTTTCTATCTGTTTCTTATTATCTTCCCTAAGGAGCTTTATTAGACATCTTTTTCCTAATGATACCATCTCCCTCACCCCCTGTGAAATTTTAATACGACAGCAGACACACACAATAGCTGTTCTTCAACTCTATGTCCACCTGCAGAGCCAAGGGCCTTTTGTTTGGTTGTGGTTTCTCTGATTCATTCTTCCTTGGCTTTTTTTCCACAGTGATAATTTATCATCTATGTGTTTGTTTAAAATAAACAGGGAACAAGACATTTTAAAAGCAAACTGAGTGTAGAATCACACTGAATTTTTATGATTCTTTTCCCATGCTCACCATTTGACAGCTATTTCTTTTTACTTGCTTTTATCAAGTCATTCCAAAGCATTTAATTTCATTTTCGTAAAAACAACTGTTTTCCACCTGCACTTATAATTTATTACTATGTAATGTTAAATTGAATTTTATCATTTTAAAGATAACCATATGACTGTTGGGGGAGCAGCAAAGAGAAAATATACATGGGAAGAAATAAGGTAAAAGAGGTAATGTAAAGAAAATAGTAATAAACACTTTTATAGAATTACTAGGTACCCAGCACTGTTCTAAGAGCTCTGCAAACGTCAACTCATTTAATTCTCACAAGGGAGGTGTTATGATTATCTCCAACTTTACTGAAGAGGAAACTGAGGCACACAGAAGTTGATTTAAACAAATTTTTTAATACTCACCTAAGGATATGTTTTATTGATTTTAAGAGAGAGAGGAATGGGGCGAGGAGAGACATTGGTGAGAGAGAGAAGCATTGATCAGTTGCCTTCTGTGTGTGCCCTGACGGGGAATAGAAATTGCAACCTATGTATGTGCCCTGACTGGGAATCGAACCTGCAACCTTTTGGTGCGCAGAACAACACCCCAACCAACTGAACCACCCAGCAAAGGCAGAGTTCAATTTTTTTTTTAAATTTTTGCCAAAAGTCTTTTTAAACAACATTTTAAAACATTTTTTTTAACTGATATGTTTTAGGATGTCTTTACCCATGCATGTTTTTCTTTTACATACTCTATTGAACATAATGTAATTTGTCTTTGCAGTGGTATAATAAATAAAAACAAGTCACTGAAAATTTCAACATAGACTACCTTTTGGGTTTTTCAAAAATCATTTCTCTTCTTTCTCAAGGAAATCAGGGAAGTGAGTTTAGCCAAGTAAGGAAGAGATTCTGTGTTGAGACAGAGGACTCAATTGCTCTGGTTTCTGTCTTTTCTTTCCCGGTGAGGGTGACTTGAGCAAAGACCCAAAGGCTGAGAACCGAGTAGTCTTTGTGCAAGATTTTTCTTTACATCTGACTACTGCTATAGTAGTGGAACAGGGGTCAAGTCCATAGGCAGCCAACAAACCACTCTCACTAGGTTGAGATCTGAGCCGAGGAGCAACCCTACTGAGTCCATCTCCCCTTTAACTTGCTATCCTCTCTCTGGCCCAGTTCTCCTTTCTCCCCTTTTCCTGACTTCTGTTCCAGAGCTTCAGTTCTTGAGCAGGGGCATCAGCTGCCCTAAGAGGGGCTACAGCTATCCTAGGTCTTGTTCTAGTTGCTCCAGGCTGGCAGCCTGTGACTCATAGACTGTGAACTCTAAAGAATAAGAGATCTTATTTGCTTACTTGACACTGTAAGCCCCATGCCTAGAACAATGCCTGATGTATAACAGATGCTCAATAAATATTTATTGAATGAATGAATGAATGAATGACCTGTGGACTCCAAAGTCCTTTGCTTAGTTCACCAGTGTCCTTGATAATTGTACATCAGTCTAATGAAAATTAATACCTGTAATAAGACCATATCGCTGGTCTTTATATTTAAATATTTTTTTTATTTTTCAATTACAGTTGACAGACAATAGTGTATTAGTTTCAGGTGTACAACATAGTGATTAGAGATTTACATAACTTATAAAGTGACCACCCTGAGAAATCTAGTACCCTTATTTGACATCATACATAGCTATAGCAATATTATTGATTACATTCCCTACCCAGCACTCTACATCCCCATGACTGTTTTATAACTGGCAATTTGCACATCCCAGTCCCTTTCCTCTGAAGAGTCTTGTTGTCTGTTTTTTAGTCAGTCCCACATACCATTTTTTAAATTTCTTTGCATTTGTTTCCAGCTGAAATTTCCAGCCCTCTTCCTCTTCCATCTAAAAAAGTCTTACCCATTCTTTACTAACCATCTTAATGGCTAAGCCACCAGCAAAACCTCTCAGATGATCCCAGTTAAAAGAGGCCATTCCTACCCTAACTGGGCAGCTCAGTTGGTTAGAATATTGTCCAATACACCAAGGTTGCAGGTTCAATCCCTGGTAAGGGCACATATGAGAATCAACCAATGAATACATAAAGAAGTGGAACAACAAATTGATGTTTCCTTCTCTCCCTGTTTCATTTTAAAATCTAAATATATATATCTATATATATAAAATCTATATATATATTATATATATATATAATATATATATGTTTAAAAGGTCATTACTTCTTGTAAAGGCCAATAGCATTGTGGTAGTGACACTTTCCAAGAGAGCTCTGCACAATTGCATAAATTACTTCCATATCTTTTTTTCATTTTATTCTTACAACTTCTCTAAGTCAAAATGTTGAACAAATGTTGCTCTTTTTCTACAGATAAGGATAAATTTGGAGAGGTTAATGGACATGTTCAGAGACAGAAGTCTAGAAAAAAAAATAGAATATACGCTAGACTCATATCTCTTCCATCCTCCTATTCCAGTTCACTTTATACTGTTGGACAATGTATGTGCTTGTGTTCTGGCACGTATTGTTACACTCTGTGTCAGTGTTATTTTCCCTGCAAGACTGTTAATTCTTATAGGCCCTAACTTCTTGGGCTTGCTGGTAATAGTAACTAAATGAATAAGTTTATTTATTTATTTTTTCTTGTAAGCTGCTTCTGCATTGGGTAAAAAGGGCAAAAATACTGTCAAGTTGGCATACAGGAGTTGGAAAACACTGTACATGCTTCATTTGTTGGTTAATTTTTGCTCAAAAAGTCTTGACTTAAAAATTCATAATAAACGGGGGTCTTTCTACATCCAAGTCTGCACAAAACCATTTGTGGTGAGTGAGATTTATTCTTTGCAATTTCACCTTAAATATAGACATTCATATTGGGGAGGGGTAAGCAAATTGCCTCTAATATTGCTATCATGGATGGGAGAATTGTGGCATTAAACAGAAGTATGATTAGTAGTAGAGGGTAGGAAGAAAGGTCTTGTGTGGGTTACAAACCTTCAGGAAGCTTCAGGCACTGCAGTTTGATGAGACCAACATCAGGCCTTATGCTTAAACCCAGACCCTTGGGGCGACTTGGGGAGCAAGCCGGAGCCCACCTTGCACTTCCCCAGGAGGCCTAGTGTTGGCTTTGGAGCCTCAAATTTGAGGCAAACAAAACACCCTCCACGTCCCAGGGAATTCAGCTCCGCGTGTGACTCCCGGTTTTTATGGAGCAGGTAAGCCCCAGACTGAGTGAGATCCAGTGACCCGCCCACCACTAGCGCCCGGGGTGCGGTCTCCACTAATCCAGCGAAGCAACCTGCCTAACCAGTTTGTCCCTGCAGCCGTCCCGTAGGCGACGCCAAGGCGCAGCGCGTCTCCCTCGGCTGCCGTCGCCATGGCTGCCCGTGATGGCGTTGCCTCCGCCGGCGAGGGCCTGCGGTATTCTGAGTACGTGCCGCCCTCGACCAAACGGCCGGACGCAGAGATCGACCAGGGCTTGGTGAGTCCTGCCGCGCTCCCGCCTCTCTCTGGCTCTTAGCTGCCGGCTGGGCCTGGTAGCAGGCTTCGGGACCCCCTCCTAGTCCTGCCTCACATCTGTGTACCTCTTTTCCCTGGAACCCTGGGTCCCGGCTTTCATTCATCATCTTTGTCCCAGAGGTTAATTCCTTCAGCCCCTGTACCTGGTGTTGAAACGGCGTGTTCAGAGAATTTCTGCCCCCTCAGGGAGCTTCCAGTCTTGTCGGGGACACAGACCAGCGCCTGCCTTTGAAGACAGGGTGTTCTAAGTGCTACAGGATGGATTTTCTTTATCACACAGGAGATCCCAGCCCAGGTTTGGGCCTGGGAGTGAAGTCAGGAAAAGTTTCTTAGAGAAAGCAATAAAGACTAGGATTGAAAAATGAGCAGCAGTCATATCTACAAAGTTGTCGGCCAGAGAAAGGGCCCGGTCGGAACTGCAAGTGGCTATTCAGGCTGAAATGTAGGTCCGGGAAAAGGAATGGCTCTACAGAAACATAGTGCGAGTCACATGTATATTTCAGTGTTCTGTAGCCATGTTAAAAATGTAAAAAGAACTAGGTGAATTTAATTTTAACGGTATTTTTTTTAACCCAGTATAGCCACAGTAATATTTCAACATGTAGTCAACATGAAAATTGTTTTATATATAATGTATATATAAAATATATATCCTGTCTTTGAAACTCAGTGTGTTAGTGTGTAACAGGACACCTCAGTTTGGACGAGCCACATTTTGGGTACTCAGTAGCCACATATGGCAACCTATTGACCAATGCGGCTCTGAAAGGTAATTGGGGGCTAGAACGTATGAAGCATCTGGTACGGCACATGAAAGAGTTGGGATATTCTGAGGGCAATGGTGCCATTTTGATGAGATTTAAGTAAAGGAGTGGTAAGTAGGACCCTTCTCTCTGGCTACTTGTAAGGAGAATGAATTAGATGGGGAAAGTCCAGAAGCATTTTATTCCGTTTCTACACCATATTCCCTGCTACTCCAGCCCACAGTGATATACTTTGCCTAGTTAGTGTCCAGCAGAGTCTTAAAATTTTGAGGGATGCAGACAGTTCTTTGTTTACAGGGTTGTCTCTCTCATACATATTAGGACTTGTAGGACCTGTAGTCCTCCAACCACCAAATATCTTCTCAAATTCTTGTGACAACCAAATGGAACACAAATTATCAAAGTGTCTCTAACGACTTGTTCTGCTTTTGCTGGGAACCATTGTTCCAAATAGTGACCGATGATAAGGTAGAAGATAAGAGAGTTGATAATAACTTGGGAAACTTGGAAGTACTAAAGGTGATGGAAAATTGACAAGGGTGTTAAGAAAGAATAAGTGACATAGGTGTGGGACATACGATTGTCCTTTTGAAAATATTAGAAAATAAAATGTGAAAAAAATTTTGATACCATTTTTTAAAAAAGATGCAGTTTAAAGTTTTTGGAATACGTGTCTGCTAGATGTTAAATAACTTTCTCAAATAAGTACTAGTAGATGTTAAATAACTTTTTCTCAGATAAGCTTCTCTTTAGGAACTACGAATTATGTTTGTTAGCATGTTTAAGAGATTAAAAGATAAAAATGTAGGTAAAAAATGTATAGTACCTCAAATAAAATAGTAACATACAATTAATTGTTTAATAATTAGAGGTCATAGTAAAACTTTGCTTTAGCAAAGCTTGTTCTCAAAGAAAAGTAGGAAAGAAACTTTATGGTTAAAAAGAGAACGTCATCAATTTTTAAAGCAGTTTGAACAAAACTTAGTATGAATGGTAGCCTTTTATTTTCCAGTACTTCCTTGAATAGTGTATATCCTAGTGTTATTTGGATAATGCAGCAATGTTCAACTGATGTGCTGCAAGAATTTTTAAAACATGCAATACCTGACTAGTCAGGGGCACTGACCTCTTTTCCCTTAGATTGTCAAATCAAAAAATAACAATAGCCAGTAGTACAATAACCGTCTGGTATGAGTGAGTCAAAATTATACCTATTTTTCTGTCAGATTAGCAAAACAATGTATTTTTTTGATGTGCCATAGAATTTTAGTCGTTAGTTTATAAGAAAATTAGCCACCAACATGTTTCAGTATGAACAAACCTGATAAATGAAAGCTAAAGCCTGTCAAACACATAAATTATCAAGTATTCAATACCAAAAAAAAAAGAGACCACTTCTACAATTTTTCAGTTCCAATTTGATTTAAAACATGTTTGACCATACTACCTGGAAGCTTCCCTTTGAAGAAATCACATGGATTATTTATTATATATATCCATATTTTTATTTTTGTCTAATTTTTTTCCTTGCTGGTCTTCATATCATAAGAGGAGGCTAAAATGTAAGACAGGAACTTTGTTTGCTGTCTGATTTCCAGTTTTAATGGTGCTGGTTATGTGCTAGGCATTCCAAAAAGAAATTCTTGAAGGAATAAATGTTATTCTGGAATGGGAATGAATGAGAAGAACTATTCTTTCAGTGAATGGAGTTAATAAATTCAAAATACAAAATTCAGCTTATCTAAAATGTAACTCATTATATTTTCTTGCCAAACATGCTGCTTCCCTTCTTTCCCCTCTCTGGAATAATTCCATACTCACCTCCACTTCTCCTTTACCTCCAGCATCCAGTTCATCAGCCAATTATCCTGGTCTCTGTAATTTCCTTCTCCCTCCCTTCCCACTGCTGTTTTGTTAGTCTTTATCATCTCTCCTCTGGCCTACAGTAGTATCCTTGGAAAACTAGTCTCTTTGCTATTGGTACTTTACCTTTTTTAATCTCCACATTGCCATCAGTTATTTTTCTATAATACTGGCCTGATAATGGTATCATCCCTTTTTATAAATTTACCAGGGTCCAAACTTTCTTTGAGGTGGTACACTGGACTCTTCATGAACTAACCCCCATCACTGATCCAGCCCCATCTTCCACCTCTGTATTGTGCTACATCCTGTGTTACAACTTAAGAGTTTTCTTCTCTGTTTGAAACTTTGCCTGGCAAACTCCTATGTATTTTTTTAAGGCTCAGCTTACTGATGTGAAGCCTTCCCTGACTGCAGTTCCCTTTCCCTAGTAGAATTAAGTTGTTTTATCTTATGTATTTCCTTAGAAAGTCATACAGTTTTTTATTATAGTATTTCTTGTAATGTATGAAAATTGTATTTACTTAAGAAACTAGGTTGTGAAGTCTTTAAGCCAAGAACTTTTATCTGCTGTGAGTGGCATTATAATTGACACATGTCACGTAATTGTTTATTATATAAACAGCTTTTAATTTTTATTACTATTGAGTAACTTAGAAAAAACATGGATGTTTGGTTTTAACATATTGATGCACTTGCTATTTTCTGTAGGGTTTCTCCTTTATGTTAGCTTTTAAGGAAGAACAATCAACTCTGTGTCTGTCTTGCTCACTGCTCTCTCCCTAGAACTTAACACAAGGCCTTGTGTATGCCAAATAATGTTTGTATATTTATATGGCAAATGTTATAAATATTATAAATAAATGTTTGTTGAGTGAGTGAATAGTCTCCGTCTTTCCTCTCCATAACAATTACTACTTTGCTTTTTGAGGCAGATGAATAATTCTTTTTCTTGTTAATTTCCCTCTGGTATAACTGTTGTCTATCTTGAACTTACGTGTTGCAGTCTCAAGATAGAAGTTTTAGCATTTTATAACACTTTGAAACAATTTATATTTATCTAGAAAGTTATTTACTGCTTATGCTATTTTGAAAGAATATAATGCCTTAGGGAATTTGTAAACAATTTTGATGCCTTTTTTTTTTTTTTTTTTTTTTTTTTTTTACCCCTCAGCAGTAGCAGCTTTGATGGAGTAGACTATATAATACCAGTTTTCAGAAATTCTTTGATTCATGGTAGTGGAATATTTAAAGTAATTTTTCCATTTTTTTTCCCTGATGGATATTTGAAACTAGGGGACAGTTAGCAGATGCCTGACTTGGCCCACTTGTTGATTTGCTGACATTATTTTAATAGTGCTTCTTTTCCTGTTTAAAATATGTATTTTTAACTAAAATTAGATGTTCTTTTTTAAAAAAAAATTATTGATTGATTTTTAGAGAGAGAGGAAAGAGAGAGAAACATTGATTTGTTGTTCCACTTATTTATACATTCATTGGTTGATTCTTGAGTTGTGCTGTGACTGGGGGGATTGAACATGCAACCTTGGTGTATCAGGGTGACACTCTAACCAAATGAGCTACTCAGCCAGGGCAAATTAGATATTCTTAATAGGCAGGGACCAAGTTTTAAGGATCTTCATTCTCAGCTCCCAACGTAAAACCAGGCCTCGTCCTTGCCCTATAAATTTTTGTTGAATGATTCAATTAACAAATGGATGAAATAGCTGAATGGGAGGAAAGTAGAGGAATAGAGATGTTTTCTAGAATGAAGAACTAATGGTCTTAAGGAATAAAAAAGAGTAAGATAAATGGGACTCTCTCTTCTTTGACTTTTTTCATGGTAAATAGAGGCTTAAAATATTAAAATAGAAATATGTCATGTTGTGTGTAGTCAGAGTACACATAATACACTGACTTTTGATGTGCATTTCCAAGTTTTGGTTATTTTATTGCTTATACCTCCACTAACAGGCATTCTCCACTCTTTTTAACTTTTGTTATTTCAATTCCATTTAATAGTTGTTTTTGAACACCAGATTCATGGAAGATTATACTAGGTGCGTGTGGAGAGGATATGAATAAGCCAGGATTGCCACCCTCAAGGACAGAGGTCAGCAAACTTATTTTCTAAAGGACTAAAAAAGTGTTTGTCTTTGCGGACCAAAAGGCCTCTGTCACACTACAGAACTCTTCCAGTACAGAGTGAAAGCAGCCACAGACCATACATAATGTAGCTGTTTCCCTATAAAATTTTATTTACCAAAATAGTTGGAAGACCAGATTTGGCTTGTGGATCATAAGTTTGCCAACTCCTGCGCTAGAAGGTAAATTG